ATAGAGTACCTGTCCTGCAAGCATGAGGACCTGAGTTTGGATCCTCAGCATCTTGTAAAAACTGGGTGGAGCAGTATGCATCTGTAACCTCAGCATTTGGTGGGAGGAGACAAGCAGATCTTTGAACTCAGTGGCCAGCCAGCCAAAGCCAGTAAATGAGCTCCAACTTCAGTTAGAAAGCCCATCTCAAAACATAAGATGGATTTGCTGGTGAAAGTCTTCTCAGGGGAAACTCCTTGCTGCCTGAGCCTGGTGATCTGAGTTCTAACTCTAAGACTGACGGTGACATAAGAGACCAAATCGTGAATGTTGCCTCTGACCTGTACATAACCACCATGGCATAAGAGTGCCCATGTACACACACACACACACACACATGCATACACGCACTATAAAAGAAAAGAAAAATAAGGTAGAGAGTTATCCAGGAAAACACCTAAGAGTGACTTCTGGCTGCCATAGGGTTGTGCCCACAAATGCAGGCATGTGCTCCCCACACACACCTGACAACATATTAAAGAGTTAAAAATTTTATATAAGTAGTTGGATGTGTCTTTTAGGGTTTGAGGATGAAAATGAGGTATTAACATAATAGCAAAGTAATTGCAACAGTCCCTCTAATTGGAGTTCACTGTACCATGCATCCTGTGCAACTAGGACCATTACCTGATGAAGAATGAGTGTGCCCTTTAAAGCAGTGTAGCACTGGGAGATGTTTGCTGTGAACGCCATCATAAAGACAGGAAGGCTGAAGCTGAGAATTATCTGGTGCTTTGACAAATTATAGAGATGTGACTCAAATCCAAGTATCTAACTTTGAATATGGAATATTCATCATATTCCTTTAACTTTGATGTCAGAATTTCATGTTAAATGTGACATAACATAGCACAGCAATATTAAACTAAAACTAACACTAATGAGAATGAACATTATTCTAGAAGCATGGTTGAGTGATTTGTTATTACTTTTATGAGTTGGAAAAATGTTCTATTTTAGTGTAGATTGCCTAGTAATAAATTGATATAAGTAATTGTAATATTTCCCCATCTAATACAATTGTACCTAACCATTCCAGAAGGAGCTATTTATCTTATCATTGCTGTTTCTAGAATTATAGAAATTAAATGGGGTTATTAGCAGCATATTACAGTGAGGTACTGTAATATATGTGGTAGAACAGAAACAATGTAGCTGTCAGCATAGCTCACCAGACACACACTATGGCGCCCTATGCACAGTATCTGCTTGTGACACACCCATTTTCTGCACTCTTATCTACTACAATAAAGACTAATGATGGGATTGATAGTATTGAATGTTGACATCATACCACATTATCATGCTATATAAATCTATACATTATAAATATTGAGACTTAAAGTCTGTGTGGTTAATTAGCATATTATTTTATTACTAAGTTCAACACTTTGGTGCAATTAGTGCATCAATGAATGATTAATACTTGATGGAAAAGATCTCATGCCAGGGCAGTAGAGCAAAGGAGTTCCTCGCTGCATCAAAGAAGGGAAAGATCCTGGCTTACTGCCATGCATAGTGATTTTCAAGGGTTAGTGATGTAATGATGGATTAACTGTGTTACAGCTCATGGTTCTGCTTTTGAGAAATTATGCCGGCGACGCTGAGGACATGCCCAGTATAGACTGGTATGATCTGGATTCACACTTCTGTTGTCACTGCTTAGATCACAGGTGGCCTTTGAATAGTAGAGGCATTGTTCTCTTGGATATAGGGCTCTGGCACACAGGAAAATTACACAGAGTATGGTAATCCTCCTGTTTCTGAGGCCCAAGAGCAGTGTTGATGCTCCACACGGTGAAGTAGCAGCAGGAGCACAGATCTCTCTGTGAAAACGTGGCATGCAAGCCTGATGCCAGTCAGTGCCTACAGTTCAGAGGGCACAGAGTATTTGTTGAGTGGAACAACAGTGCACTTGCCTGAGCCTTGACAACACAGGGTATGACCTGGCGGCAAATGTAAATGGAACATAAGCTCTTGGAGCTACTCCTGGCTCTGACTTCTGGCTTTGGCCACCACAGCCTGCCTGCCTTGGGCAGGTAGTAGAATATTCTCAGCCTTACATCCATCATCTGCAGTATGCATCTTCAGAGTTGGCTTGTATGCTCAGTTCCCCACCTTCTACAGCTGTGGCAATACTGTCCCACTCTGGGCACGGGGACGCCTCTTCCTGCCCTTCCAGACAAAATCCCTACTGAATTTTCCATTCTTTGGGAGAGACAAACTGGGGAGAGTGCTCCCCAAATAACTGCTGTGGAAAATAGTCAAGCAGGGGAGGTAAAAATGCCTTTATAAAATGGAGGGCAGGGGAGACACCTACAAAGGTTAGACTGAAAGTGGGAGTGATGTGCACGGGGATCTGGGGCTGAAATGGTGCCTTGGACAGAGAATGGCAACTGCGAAGGCCCTGACTGAGGTTATACATGCCCTGCATATTTGAGGAGCAGGGCAGACATTCTGCTTTAGTGCAAGGAAAGGGAAATAGGATGAGGTCAAAGGAGAGATGGAGAGTAAGGGGGGGGGTCTTTGTGGGTCATCATTAAGTAAATTCCTTTATCATATTGCATTTTCCCAAGTGCATTTAAAAACACCAGCACACCTAATTTGTGTCCCATTGCCCTGCACTTTAATCTAATGCTCCTTATCCAGTGATCTACAATGTGCTATGACGATGCTGGCGATTGCCTGACTTCAACTTCCAGCTATGTGAACCCTCAACACAGTTTCCCTCTGGTGCCTCCATTTCTCTATCTGTAAAATGGCAACAGTGACTTAATCTACTTGGGTCTGAAGTGAGAGCCCCAGGAGTCTTAACTATTTTCAAAACATCAGTATGGCAGAATCGGGCTTCAGGAAATATCACTCACTAGGTTTGGCACATTTGGTAACAGTTTTATTTTTACTATCTGCAGTGTTGTAGGACCAGGAGATAAGGTTACTATATCAGCAAAATCCCATAATTCAGCAGGAAAACTGAGAACTTCCAGACTACAGGCTGCATGTTGAGTGTATGTGTGTGTGTAGGGGGGAGGGGTATTTACTGGGATGTGTCTGGGGTGGGGTATTTAAGTGGAGTTCAAAGAGAGATGAAATAGGCATGTGAAGATGAACCCAGAATAAATAGAGGGTATAATGTGCCTTAGCAAGGACCACACCGAGCATCAAGGTCCAGAGGGTTGCAGAGCAGTGGGATTCAGTAGGCATGGGACAGAGTGGTACATGGAGGTTTTAGGAAGGCAGGCAGAGTCCAGAGCATAGACTTTGCAGTGCTATGTATGGGTCAGTAGTTCTCCAATATGACTTCAAGTGAATCCTCTAGAGTTACAAATGCCTGGGTTCTCTCCCTCAGTAGTCAAGACTCTTGAGTGATAACAAGTGATTCTAAGACAAAGACTGTTTCAGTAACTGTGGAGGAGTACAAGAATCTCTGTATGTCACTGTAGTAACATTGGACAAGTCATGCAACTGGACATCTGCTTAGAAATGTTGCTTTTGCTGACCACATTGAGAATGGAATGTGGACTGGGTTGATCTTCAAGCACAGAAGGATGTAGTATGAGGCAGACCCTGTGACAAGGGCCTGAACACCACTCACAGCCACACCCAGGGCTTGAGTTAAAGGACAGTCCCATCTGGTGTGCAAAGGACAGAGGTTTTGAAACCCACAGAATCATATCTAGGCAGGCACAGGATAGTCAGTGGTAAGAATACACTTGGTAAAAAGGGATTGAGAGTTGTCCTTGAGACATGGTGTGTTGGAGAAAGTTATTTACTGGCAAATGTGATAAAAATGATGCCCACTTGGTTGGCAATGCCTTTGGAGCAGACAGCATGAGGGGCCTCCTGGGCCACTTACAGGACTGTGATGACCCACACTGCCACAAAGCATAGTGTGACTGGACTCTGTTACCTTTATGTCAGAGCGAAGGACAATTCATTCTGCTATTTAGAGCTGTACTGGGTGTAATTACCATCAGTACTAAATTACACTCCGGGACACAGTTGGCTTCTTTTTGCCAGTTCCTCAGAGTTATAATGAAGTAACATGGGTCTTAGGGCACTAGTTTTGTTACATCACCATAGCCTAGTATTAAGTATAATGTGTTTTTTGTTTGCTTGAGTGACAAGTGCATTTATTCATTCATTAGTGAACAGTATGGATGGACGCCATTCCATCTCCCTACGGTGGCTACATTTTTGCAAGTGAAAGTATTGTTATAACAAGAGCTGGAGGCATAGTCACTTTAAGGAGCATACTGATGTGGTGTTGTTATGTCCATCAGCCATGGAGCTATTTTAGAAAGAGGTGAGCGTACATTGGGATTTTTCCATTGTTGTTGTTTTGAAAGTTTAGGTGGCCTCTAGATGGCTTTGAAGTAGCCATCCCATAGAGCAGGGCATGTTTACCTAGGCAAGGAAATTAATCCACCTTATTGGTGACCATGATCCAGTGGCTCTGTTTTTCGGTTTGTGGGCCAGCATTTCAGTAATGGATAGTCTCATGTCCTGTAATATCTGAGAACTGGTATCACCTCTTATTTATGAACAACACTAGAAGCCAAATAGTGAAGAAATGAGATTCAGAGTCTTTCATGGTCATTCTTTATTTCCTCCAAGCCTTTTCAGAAGAATTTCCTGGGATTTATGACTTCTTTATTTCTACCCTTAAATAGTTCAGCACTTGACTGTGTTCTCCTCTAAAAGTATGATCTCTATTGAAGTCGGATTCAACAAACCCAGAGTTCTATGTAATGAAATCTCCCCAATGTAGAGGATAGTTTGATTTACTTCTGTAAATATTTTTAGGATTTGAGTGGAACATCTAAACAATTGTTAACGATTTGTCTAGAGTCTGCTTTGGGGGCACATCCTCTGCCAACAGCATCCTTACTGGTTCCTGGAATAGGTGACATTTAGACTGTTTCTCTCAGCTCATAAAATGATAAATTCCACAAAGGTGATTATGATTTTAATATACTTTATTTAAAAAGTACAGAGTTTTAAATTGGTTTCCATGGTTTTCAAGCAGAAGGGATACTGCCTACCCAGTATAGCCCCGTTTCTGATGAAGGGTGATCATGTGGTAAACTCACATTTGCATGACTGGCAAAGTAAAAAGATAACTTTTTTGTCAATGTATCTGTAAGAGTTTCTATCACGCACAGTTTAAAATCATGAGATGCTGATGGCTGGCCTATGCTTATGTCTTCTATGTCGCACCATATTTGGGTTCACAGTTTATCCATAATTTATAGCATGCCAAAAGAACATCTCAGTAGTCAGTGTCACCTCGAGAAGAGACTCAAAACCAGGGGGAGCAGCAGCAGGACCACCTGGGCATGGAGACTTGATGCACCCCCACACTCCCTTGCATTCTCCTGTGGGGAAAGTAGGGGCTGGTTAAAGCAGAAACAGGTTCTAGGACATTAAGCTCAGCAGTTTCCATACTGATGAGGATTCTAGAATCTTTTGACTCAGCGATGGAAGGAATCAGGTGTGTCTAAATCCCACCAAGTTAGAGGTCCAAATACGTAACTGCAGCTGTCAATGCACACACTATCTAAATTACTCTCTGAAATTATTTTACTTTTTAAAAGATTTGTTTCTAATTTGTGTGTGTTGGGGGCATGACTGTGAGTGCTGTGCCTGTAGTGTCCAGAAGAGGGCGCATCAAATCATCTAGAATCACAAACCACTTGAAGTAGGTGCTGGGAACCAAACCCAGGTTCCTCACTGAACCACATCTCCCAGGCTCGCTTTGAAAATTATATAGACCAGTGAGTGGTTCTCACTCTTCCTAACGCTGTGGTGACCCCCAGCCATAAAGTTATTTACATTGCTACTTCATAACTGTAATTTTGCAGCTGTCATGAATCATGTAAATACTTTTGGAGACAGAGGTTTGGCAAGGGGGTCACGACCCACAGGTTGAGAACCAGTGGAGTAGAAAAGGGCTGTTTCTATAGGTGTCTGCTGTGATCTCACTAAAAAGCACGACAGTTTCTAGGGACACAGACACTATCAGTTCAGAGTATCATCTTTCTGTTCACTTGGGGGAGAAAGCCCCTGTTTCAGAAAACTCATTTTACGTGTTCCTTTCTCTTAAATGCATCTAGAAACGTTGTCCATTATTCTCCTACTCTAATTGGCCATTTTCTTATTAAGGCTATTCTTTACCAAAAACTGCTAGAAGTAAGTCTCTACCTTCCAGTGCAATTTGCCCCGGCCTCTGGCTATGGGAAATGTACCCAAAGAGGAAGACTGCAAAGCCTGAGACTGTTGTCCTCTGAATTAGACCTAGGTGTCTCTTCACTTTGTATTACTTTGATAATCTTGAGCTATTACTAATTATAAACATCATTTAAACTTTTTTAGCATTGCTACTGACTTTGCTATATCTTTCCTAGGTAGGCCAAGCTATTTGAATAGTTAAATGGGTCTGCTTTTGTTCCACAGTTTCTAATCTTAAGACAACAAAGCATCTCATTAATTCTTAGAATATCCATAAGACAACTATTCTGCCATGCAAGACTAATATATTCTTTTTTAAATTGACTGTTTCCTTGTAAAATTATTTTCTAGGTTATACTGATCCCAATTCCAGTATTCTAGAAAAAAACAAAACTATAGAATTTCATGCTTATGTTACATCCAGTTAAAAAAGGAAAATTTTCTTGTTAGCATTAGTAGCTTTTACTTTAATTACTTAGTATGCTCAGTTCTTGACAGCTGTTCATCTTGAGATCAAGTCTTACTCTTTACCTAAGTCTGGCCTTGAACTTGCTCCCTTCCTGCCTCAGCCACCTAGGTGCTGGGTTATAGGAGAGGCTACCACACCCAGATCATTTGGCTAGGATCATTGAAATATTAAAAAGGTTTTTTCCAGCATAGATATAATAGATATAACATGTTGCTTTTGATTTCCCTTTTGACTATAGATGGAAATATTCTTAATAAACTCTTATTATAGTTAAAATGCTGACAGTACCTACTGTAGGTAAGTGCTGACTTTTAACATCTTAAGAACTGGAGAGCTTATAGTACATCAAAATTGTACATGAAGAAGGCTGAGGTGACACTGTCAACATCAAGTGTCCAACTCTATAATTATGATCTAGGCACACTTTCGACTTCGGGTAGGAGTAGAAGTGGAGTTCAGTTATGAACTTATTTTTCTTGTTTTAAAATGTTGTCACCTTCATTACTACAGAATGAATAAAAACTCACCTTTGTCAGAGTGGACTTAATTCTACACTCATTACCAAGGGGTTTGGATGCAGGTATGTCCAACTGCTACTCACACCTCCCAGGAGAGCAATGAATGCAGGCCAGCAGGTCTGTGTAGGACAATATCAAAAGGCTGGACAACCCTGGTTGTCACTTAGCATTCACCTCCATCTTGGCAACTATTTGATACTAAGTTGCACTTTTCTTTAAAGTGAATTTCTTCTAAACAAGAAGTTATCTGAAATAATCAGTGGAAATAATGCTACCTTCCACTTAAAATAAAACATGATGGGCAGAGCCACCTTGTGCATGACAAAATTATAACACATAGAAAATCAGAAAAGGATTTTAAAATATATATGGACACCGAAGGAAGATTTCACTAAGCAGAGGTGGGCTGAATGCCCAGATCTATTAGCTGTCATGTATTCCTGTTTTAGTTTTCTGAAATCAGTTATTTTGTCTGGAGACAAGTTTTCAGCTGTGGGTTTTGGTCACCATGAGGGACTCATTGTGAACCTGGTGGGAAGAGAACATAGAAACACTTTTCTGACTTGCCTCAGGATGGAAGCCATGGCAGGATTCCGGACGCCTCCTGATCTTCTGAGCCTTTAAACGCTCACACTTAAGAGATTCATTATGTTGACTGTAGTTAAGGCATGTTTCTGAGGATTGCATCACACACTCTGAATATCAGGGGTCAGAACTTGGCCCTAAAGTAGCTTAAGCACTTTTCTCCAAACACAGGTAAAGGATGCCATCTTTCCCTCTTGTTTCTCTCCTGTTGTTTTCCCCTTTACCAGTTGCAGCTGCAGCAGCTGGACCCACACCAAAAAGGATATACCTGATTTCAATGGGTGCCATGGTGATAGGAGCCACAGACTCACAGAGGCAGCTGCTGTCCACCACCACCATGAACAGATTGCTACTCGGGATTTGCTGGATGACAAAAGACCTGTGGGAACAGGAGGTAACAAGACAGTAAGGGGTCATTTACCATCTGTCTTCATTTCTGTTGCTTTGATAAAAATCCCCTGACCATAGAACTTAGGAAGAAATCTCTCTAGTTTCCAGTTTCCAGTTATAGTTCACTATTGGGGGAAGTGAAAGCTCAGGAGCTTGGCACAGCTGGTCACATGGCATCCATAATTAGGAACATGACACAGTGAATCCAGGCATGCTCACGATCAACACATTTTCTCCATACTTAAATAGTTTCAAGTTCCCTCAACTAGGGAATAATGTCTCCTGCAGTGGGCAGGTCATTCCACATCAATTAACATAATCAAAAATAATTGGCCAACTTGGTATAGACAACCATGAATTAAGATTCTCTTCCCAGATGATCCTAGATTGTGTTCACTCAACAATTAAGATGAACCATCACACCATCTCACTAATGAAAAGATATATAGGTACACTTCTGACCCTGAGGAACAACCATGATATTTTATGGAGCCAAGTTCAGAGATACCTTTCCAGAAAGTTGCCTCCCTCAATTGAGGTGCTTTAATTAAAAATACTAAGCTGGAGTGAGAAAGCAATAGCTGTATTCTCTTGAAGTTAGCTCCATTCATCTGGAGAGACTGAGGTTTCCAATAGAGAAATTAGAACTGGCTGAGTCATGTCAATTTTCAAAATGTACCTTCTTCATATCTGATTTCATTCTCTAGGATTAGGTTTCAGGATGACCCTCACAATGAAACTCCTGTTTCCCTGCCAAGTGCTTGTAGTTTGGTAAGAAAAAGTATACAAGGCCCAAAGCATCATCTCCTACTGGATTTCCTGTGTTATCTATCTGCCCAGGAGACAGGAGCTAGACACAGAGAAGGTTCTAGAATCCATGTTGATTTCAGATCTAAGACTGTATAGGGGCTCCACCCTTTGAGATCTACCAATACAACCGGTTCAATTGTAATGAGTTGGACTTGGTCTCTGTTATTGAATATTGTGCTGACAAATTGATCGCAGGTGGCTAGAGCATAGGAGCATGTAAAGATTTGGGATGCTGTACAGTGAGAGCCAAAATTATCTTAGTCCCTTAAATAACCATTCTCTTTAGCTTCATATTAATCTTAACATTCATGGGAGCATTAGAGACACTCTTTGGGAATAACCTCCACCAACACCAAAGCTAAGATCACATCAGAAAACTTGCTTTCTTAGACAGCCTGCCTCCCTAATGCCCCCATTAAGGTATTTGGAAAATACATTTATGTATTATTTTGTTTAACTAAGTGACATCAAAAGTTGTTATAACTTCCTCCATGGTAGAATACATCATTCAGTGTGACTTGAATATGTGTTATGTTAAAGCAGGCACATTATTTTATATCAACAGTTTTGTTGCCTAAATGGACCCCCAGAGAGTATTTACTTTTGCCAGATGAGTCATTTGGAATGTTGCCATGCATCAGCATGAACTGTCTATGTCTCTAACTCCAGCACATGGAGACTCTTCAAGGAGATATTGGTGTCTTTTCTGAGGTCAGCATCTTGCCTTTGAGTGACAAGTCCTTTCCTTTATTCTGAGTTCATTGTTATGTCTGGGTGTCCTCTTGTAAAACATTGTTTAAACTTCAGTTTATTATTAGTTGGCTATTTTTCTTAAATATGGCTCTTCCATTGTCTGTAGTTTAGTTTGTCTTTCTCCCAATCAATAAAATGTCCAAGTTTTAGTATGGAATTATTATGAATACCTAATTCTAAAGATGTCAGAATAAGGAGCACTTTTTCCTTCTGGCTTAAAAGGGTACAGCTAAAAAACTAACTGAATTTGTGGATATGCAAGGGATGCTCCTCAGTATGGTATCAAGTTTCCCAAATAACTTTATGACTTGGTCAGAAAGAATGCTATTGGATCATCCAGGAAGATACACTTAAGGCATCTTGAGCTACTTAAGGCATCTTGAGCTCTGAATGTTCCATAGACATGTAGGATAAAGCCAAGCCACAGTGGAGGAACTAGCAGTCCCCAGCATCTACCATCTCCTAATGGAGCCTGGGCAAGGTCCTTCTTGTACTATGTAACTGTAGTCCACAATGACCAATGCCTTAGATGCCAGCATGGCCTGAGCTCATTCCTTCTCGTTTGATGACCTGGGAAGTTGTTTATAGGTAGCACAGACCCAATCATCTCTCATGTTTTTCTCCTGAATCTCAAAGATATGTCTCAGGACTATGACAGTTAGTACTACAATACCTGGCATCTTTCTTTGAGAGGCCATAGAATAGACCCTTCCAGATCCCACACCACTGAAAGGTGGCAACTAGTGGTACAAGCCCTTGTCCAGCATAAAGTAAAAACAAATTACACTTATGAACTGCTGTAGGCTAGACTAGACCATGGAAATAGACAATGCTGGCATCAACTGAGACTGAAGGAATCACCCAGTATGCTCTTCTTCTCTCCTATAATCATACCCAAGCTTCTAAAACCGATAACAGCTACTTGATAAAATTGGTATGAAAACCTATGTTATAAAAGATGTTCAGACATCAACACAAATATATAACCATGATTATTTAGCAAAGGACCTCAATTTGAAGAAAACTTTGAAAATTGTTTATAGGATGTAAAATTATGCTTCTAAATAAACAAGAAAATGCAGATAAATACAAAAAAGAGCTGGGCAGTGGTGGTGCATTTAATCCCAGCACTCAGGGAGGCAGACACAGGCAGATCTCTGAGTTCAAGGTCAGCTTGGTCTGTAGAGTGAGTTCCAGTACAGCCAGTACAGAAATTTGCTGAATACATGGATAATCATGAAGATGAACCAACAATAAGTCTAAAAATTTGAATAAAAAATTATCCATCCTAACAGAGAGAAACACCATGAAAGAAAAGGAAAAAAGAATGTAAAAGCCGAATGTGGAAGGAGAGTGCAGTGAAATATTGTGTTCTGGACATGGTTATCATACTCATGATCTTACAGTAGCTGTAGCTACCTGAACAAGACCAAGCCAGCCAAAATTCCAGCATAAATAGAGAACCCCACCAGTGAGGAACTACTGAAAAGTGATGGCTGCTGGGGGAAGGAGAATCATTCTTCTCTGGGGATGTGGACACTGGGTGGTTTGCTTGTGCCTACTTGATGGCTCTATACCCATGAACCTAGAAGTGGCACTAATTGGACTTGGTACTTTGTTTTGTTTCTTTAAACAGAAGACATGAAGTTGGAAGGGGGAAATGGAGGCTAGATATGATCATATTTCATTGACTATACATATGAAATTCTCAATACTATCAGTGAAAAAAATGGTGATTACTACTGTGAAAAATATATGACTATAGAAAACTCGGTACAAGAATAGACACAGGAAGGGAAATAGGAATCCAATGTAACATGACAGAAAAGCACCAAACCACAAAAAAAAAAAAAAAAAGTTAGACGTGAAGGACACGGAAAGGAAATATATAAAGAGCAGAGTCCAATCAACAACAAAATCCTCATAGACTGACTATATGAAAGATCTAGCAGGACTCTAGCCCCAGGCTGTGACACAGCCACAGCTTGGTGCCATGGTATGAGGCTGGTGGGGGCAAGTCTCAAGCAAGTGCTGCCAGACACCTATGGCACAGGGCAGACACCATTGAAGTTAGCAGGTACAGGGTAGGGAGATGGAAGAGAGGGAGAGGTGAGGAACAGGGTGATATGAATGGCCTGAGTCCACGGTTACTTCTGGGCTTGGGCTACTGCCAAGGGCCAATCTTGGTCTGCGATCCTGAAGCAGCTGAGGGGGTATGAGGTGATGTTTGTGGCTCCTGTTGCCACTGAGGGCTGTGCAGAGGTCTGGGCCCCCACCTGAAGCCAGGTTGATGTCTGAGGGCCACTATAGAAGCCATGCCTATCCTAGTGGCCTACACTGCCATCTGGGGCCAGGCTGCTTCTGGGTCCATGTTCCTACCATAGTTGATATCTGTGTTGATGTCTGGTGGCCCATGGTACAACCAGAAGCCACATGGATGCCCAGGGTCTGGACCAAAGCCAGGGCCATGCCAGGTTGAGTGGCTGGCACTGTCATTTGGGTCCACTGTGTTGTCCAGGCCAAGGATACTACTGAGGGTCATGTATGGGTCCATGGCCCTACAGCAGCCAGGGTCTGAGTTGATGTTCATAGCTCCTGAGGCCATTGAAGGTCATGCCATGTCATAGATCAGGGCAGCTACCTGGGGCCATGGTTACACCTGAGCTGGACTATGACCTAGGACCATGTCTGGGCTCCTGCCTGCCATAGTCAAAGTCTGTGTTACTAGGGGGTACCACAGATGATAGTAGGGGTCAGTTCATGCTGAGCTGGCCCTACCCCTTACCATGGCTGTGTATCTTACGTGGGTAGCACACTAGAGTTGACTCTGCTATCAGGGACACAGGTGAGCTGGCCCTGAGGGCATGAGAACAGCAGAGCTTTGTCTGCCATGTGGTGGCATGGGGGAGGAAAAGATGCTTTCCCCTTCCCACCCCTTGCTAACTGTGGCAGGCAAGAGAGCTGGTCCCAGCAGCAGCCTGATCCTGAAAGTTACCATGGCCCCAAGGTCATAAGAGTAAGAACTAATTAACCCTGTCTCTCATAAGCTGCAGCACCCTGCCAAGGGAGCACTCTAGAGCCATTCCCTGAGGTCATGAGAGCACCCACATATGCCCCCTAGAGCAACTGGGAGAGAAGGCCCTGCACCTTGCCTGGACAAAAGAGTAGTAGAGCTGTGCCTGGTGATATGAGTGAGTGGGACTTGGATCTGAGGGCTTGAGAACAGAAGAGCTGGCCCCACTCCTTGCTACAGGCTTCATTGGGTGAGTTGGCCAAGGCAGTGCTGGAAATCTCATTTGGTTAGTGAGCCTGAGGGAAAGTTAGTAAGCTACGCAACATAGCTACCACTCAGACCCACCTCAAAATCCACTGAATCTATGAACTGGTGGAGCATGTGAAGGTAACAAACCAATAGATCTAAAACTG